GTCTTTTCGACACGGCTTAGGTGTGCCGGCAACTTGCCGCCAACATCATTTGCGGATGGGCTACTACCGGTGGAATGCCGATGGGATTCATCACGATCTTCGTCGAGCTCAGCCTTTGGAGTTGCCGGCCTGGGACTGAGCGCCTCAGCTAATTGTGCTCCATTGGCTTTGTCCAGGGACCCAGAGGAGCCAGCGATAGGAGAACCATCACATGGAGAAACCCCCTTTTTTGACTTTAAGATATTCGTGCCCCAATTTTCCGTTGGTGAGGATGCCACTGCCTGAAGTTGGTCGATTCCCGGCTTGCCAGTTTCGGAGGCTTGGGCTGCCTCTGGTTCGATGACTGGAATCTCTACAGCCAGCCCTGAAGACGAGAGGTGGGTGTCGCCTTCGTCGAGAGATCGTTTTGAAGGCGAGGATAACGCATTGGTTGGGCGATGGACCTTGAGCTTGATGGTGGTCTTTGGCCTTGCCGCCGCCTCAGCCTCACGCCGCTTGCATGACTGGCAGATTAAATGAAACTCTGGTTTCTCAGCTTCGTTCTCGCTTATACCGAGGCACTTGCTGTGTTGCCAGACGTTGCACTTTTCGCAAGCCACACTGTGTGTGCCATCGTCAATTTGACCGTAGACACCACAGATGCAGTCAAACATCCAATCATCCTCTTCATCCTCAAGCTCTTCAAGTGCTCGCTTGTTTTTCTCAATCTCAGCTTGCAGCCGCCGTTCTGATATGCGACCTGAACCACTGCGGTTGTCCTCTGAAAGCTGAGAGAGCTCCCGTTCGTGCTGTAAACGGCGGGATTCTCGATCCTGGAGTCGCTTTTCTCGAGACATGAGTCTCGTGTCCCGCTCCTTTTCCAGTTTGATTCGTTGCTGCTCCTCCTTCTTTGCAGCTGCTCGTTGAGCCTGCAGAAGTTTAGCCTCTTCTAGGGCCTTTTCTTCTTGCTTCTGCTGCTCAGCCCTGTTCGCAATGCGGCTAGATCGCTTCGCATTTGCCATCTTAGCCAGATTGTGGAGCTCCCTTTCTCGCTGTTGCTCCTTTCGTTTTCTCGATTCTTCCTGTTTCTCTAAAATGGGTAGAAGATGCTCTTGGAGCTGATCTCGAAGAATCTTTTCGTTGTCATCCTTGGTCTTGTGGAACGAAGCGATGATTCCCCGCACATCTTCCAGACTCACAGCAATGCATTCCCATCTCATGCCGCCAAGTCCGTTGTCTTCTGGTGCGGAAACATCGTCATCAGCCGGGTTATCCACGGATTGGTATGTTTCATCCGTGCCGTTTGCTGCAGAGACTCGCCGTCTCTTATTGGACCGAGAGCCGTATCTGGCGACTTTCGACTTCTTTTTGGGTGTCATCGGCTTGGAAGGTGGCTCGGTCATGCGATAGACTCGATTATCGTCGAGTACGAAGTATGTACGGTCGTCCTTGTCCCAGCCAATTGGCTCTATCCGCTATCCACAGCTGTTAGAAATTCGCTTGGAACCCAACTACAACAGTACTCACCCAGCTAGCTTGGTCGGTATCCTTCTGCTCTTCCATCTTCTCCCTGATACGTTCTGGGCGGCCCATGATCCATTGAGTCATTTGTTGAAGGATTTGAATCTGCGATGGGTCAGCGGCGTACACAAGCTTCGAGCTTCCATCGAATATTGTAATACCTTGGTTAAGACATCGAAGTCCGCGAATTTGGCCGCGGTCTCGCCTGTTCCGAATGGGTTCTTCTCGGGGGCCCTTGCCAAATATTGTCGTCGTGTGTACTCATCGAACAGCTCATGCCTGCGACATCTTAGTATGCGGAGTGAATATGCGCATATCGAACCCGCTAATCAACGTACGTTAAACCGCGATGCGACGAGATGAACTTCAGCAAAGCAAGTCCTATGTCCTGGAGGATGGGGGCATTCGGCTTCAGACATTCGGCCTCGATATCCTGAGCGACCTTTTGTCAGCGAATGGATGGACCGGCAAAGCCAAAGAAGAGGGGCAGCTTGCCTCTGTATCCAGATTGTCATCGATCTTGACGACCTTGCCGAAGAGGTAAATCCATTGGCACAGGTTGGCAAATTGCCATTGGTGTCGAATCCGATGGAGCAACGACGGCTCCTCCTTTTGAATGACGTCTTCGGCTCCGTGCAATGTTCGTTTGCGTGAGGAGAGCATTATTATAGTTGCGATACGTTGGGGGTACTTGGAAAGGTAGAGCAACGAGCCGATGCAGACAAGGGCCCAGGGCAGTATCGTCGGTCGGTTTAGACGTCGCCGACAGTGGCGGTGGATCTCGTGGGGCTCGTCTTGAAGGGTCGCGTCATTGACACGCTGTCGTCGTGCAGAAAGATACCTGGTGAGGCCGAGAGATAAAAGTCTCTCAGCAGAAAGGTTGGAAGGCGGCAGGTGGTTGGCCTGCAGCAGGACAAGGCAAATGCTCGAACCGAGCTATACAGATTGTATTCGGAGGCAAGGCGGGTCCCGGTGAAAAGCAGTCAAGCTTAATGTCGAAGAGCAGGTGCTTTGAGATGCCTAGGTAATAGTAGCAGAGACGGTCCAGAGTCGATTGTGAGGCGCAGTGAGAGTTTGCTACCAAGGTGTCGAGGGATTGATCGTGGTGTAAGGAAAGGTATTGCAATGCCTCAAAGTACGTAGTGGATGTAATCAAATTACCTGCAGCGTGGATGGGCATTGGTCCAGCTATCAGTGTACCTTGATCTCATCAGGACTGGGCGCGTTTTGGGTCGCGGCGTCTGCGTGGGGGCTGTCTGGCGGGTGGCATCGGAAACGTGTCCGTGCTGTACGCGCCGCGGGTCAATTTGGTTACATAATACAGAGTTCACCGGAGCTTTGTACTAGGTGCGGGCACCCGATCGGGGGGGAGGGGGGGGGGGGGGGCGTGAATGAAGGTAATGCCCGGGGGTTCGGGAGGGGAGCACTCCGAAGAGCACGGCCTCGTTCTGCAAACTGGTTTCAATTTCAATTTCAATTTTTTCCTTCTTTCTTTTTTTGGCTCTTTATTGCGCTTCGGCTTTGCCTTCTGATTAGTGGACTCTACTCTTGTTCTTGGCAGCCCTCAGTTAGCCAGTGATGTCAAAAAAGAGAATCAAATACTTCATAAGCAGGTAAGGTATGCGGCGCATGCGTATAGTTAGCTATCTGTCTATTGATACCTCGCAATCGCGCAGCGTTTGACTTCAAGTTAGGTAGGTAGTCGCTTGTTTCAATTAGACGGTGTGAAATAGACAGTGTACGGTGGACAGTGGACAGTACATCGTATAGCATGGGCCTGAACTTTTGATGGAGACAGTCAGAAGAACGGAAAAATTACGTATGTAATCGTAGGCCTCCTACGTATTGGCGTATCCGACGCGCGCTGCTGGGCATCTGTCACTTTTTACAGATATGCCCTCTGTAGGGGTTAGGTTTTCTCCCCCCTACTTTTGAAAATTATAGGCCCCTCGGTTTCAACGTTCTGGACACACCTGGAGAGTATGTGATAGAGAACGCACACAAGACCCCTAAAAGTCTGCTACAGTCCTCCCTAAAAAAGACTGCCCTTAATTAGCACGGGCCAGCATGGCTGGCAGCAACTGTCCTCTGCAGCCTGCGGCATACCCTTCGAGTGATCAGACAAGCTGATATTGTCCCCCCCTGTCAACCCGAGAGTACCGTGCACAATAACAGCAATAAAGCTCAGCAGACAGTGGATTTAGTGATAACACAACTATCTCTAGAGGCAAAAGGGATGGTCTTCGCCCATCCCGACCCGGAGCGCAGCGTAGGAAGCAGGGTGGGTTAGACCATTCCAACCCTCCCCGGCGGAGCCGTTTTGGAATTAAAAAAATCTAAGAAAACTGGATTTGAACTGGATTTGAACCTGCAGCCTTTAGGATGAGGTTTATCGCTGTTATCGTGCACGGTACTCTCGGGTTGACAGGGGGGGACAATATCAGCTTGTCTGTAGACTCATACCCTTCATGCGTGTGCCGTTCTTCCATGGGCTGCCGTCCTATCCCCGTCCCATCGTCTCAGCCTGGAAAGAAGCTGGGGAATGCTAGGGGAAGGGAACGACAACGCACTTGGCCGGACACGCAGCCAAAGACAGGGGTCCGGCTGAAGCCTGGCAGTTTCGAGACGGGTGAGGACAGTGAAACACGCTTTCGCTGCACACTGTAAGACTACGTGCAAGGCCCCTAATGGCAGCTCGTGCCCTTGAACCGCTGCCTCGTCATCGCAGGGCTTCCATATTACTGTCACTGCTGAGTCATTAGTGCCATCACTACCTGGAATCTGAAACCGAAAATAGAACTTATCTGACTGCCTTATGGAGCCCCCGTCTCCAAGTCTCTTCACAGTGCTCAAGTTCTCCGACACTGGTCATGCTAGCCATGGATGGTCAAGTCAGCCTCCCTCTCTTTGCCTCCCAGCTAGCAGTAGACATCAAGACGAATGCACAATTGCCAACTGCTGCTGCTACGCTCATCTCGCTCTTTTTCGCACCTCGGATCACCGGTCCGACCAGACCAGGACGGAAGCGCAACCTTTGCCCCGCACATTTCAGGAACACAACATCCAAACCGATTTGCTTTGGTGACGTTCGACTTCACGATACCCACTTGCGACCGTCCCTCGACGAAAACTTGGACTCTCCCTTCACTGCCCGCGGGTGTTTATATTCCCATAAGTTAGGCCCTCCACGCCAAACAATTCACGCCAGTCGTTATCTCCAGCAGTGCGATCCCGAACTGAACCAAAGTCGCTCCCTTCTATACGACTAGAGATCCCGCGCCTCGACATGCGCGCAATCGTCTTCCTCCGATAATTCTGGATGTGCGATCCGTGGTTTTCGTTGCTTTTCGACCGGCTTAGAGTCAAAACACCTACCCGCTTGCGTGCCCTGGCCTTGGTCGTCCACTGTCCGTGTATCTTGAAGGGAAAAAGAAGCAATTGCTCAGACGCCACCGCGAACCTCTGCCTCGATGCAGAATAATACATCTTACTCCTACGAGATGAGTTCACGGCAGGATGAATACCCAGGTTCCGACAGGGACCGTCTGCAGGCAGACTCCCAAGCCGAATCCCAGCGCGGCCGTCCAGGCCGTCCGTCCTCGACATCACCTCAGACGCAAATGTCTGCCAACGGACTCGGCCTTTCAATATACTGGGAACAACCATATGCCCAGTCCAACAGCTCTGGTGGTCCCGAATCCCCGATTGATCCTTCTGCACTGCAATTCGCCCTCCCGCCCGATATCAATCAACCCCTACCGATACCGCGCTTGAACTCCCCCTCTCTTGACTCTCTTGACCGGCCTTCGCCGTACTTCGATGAGGCCACGAACCCCGACTACTACGAGGATAGGGTGCCGCTTACGTCCAGAGCACAACCCATATCTGGGTCGCTCAGCGCAAATACAGATGAGGCTCAACGAAGAGACAGTTTCCAGACTGTATCCGATATCGACAACACTCCTTCGAGGCCTCGAGACGCCAGATCACTCGGCTACGATTTGGATTCCGGCGGTCGTCGCCCGAGTTATGGAGCAACACTCAGTCCTGGAGGGGAGCATAGACGCTCTCGCTCACCCTCTACTGCCAGCGCACTCTACAGAGCTGGCTCCATTATGCGAGCCATGTCTCAGCGTGTGGTCAACATTAGCGGCGAGGGCGAGCTTGTGGACCACAGGGTATCAAGGAGCCGCTCCCCGTCCCCGGCATCAAATCGCCGCCAGCAGTTACACACCTCTGCCCAGATGTTCACCGACCCTTTGTACCACTCTCATGCCTCCCACGTACCTGAGAAGGCCCCTCAGCCGGAAAACGTGTTCGCCGACCCCCCTCCGCCTATCCATCCTCGGGTGCCAATGAAGAATCCGCTAAAGGGGAAGTCGTTGGGTATCTTCCCTCCTGACCACCCGATTCGTACCAAGCTTTGCGACCTTCTGGTCCATCCTTTCACCGAGCCCTTTATTCTCATCCTCATCATCCTGCAAGCCAGTCTCCTGGCTGTAGAATCAGCACCAGATGTCTTCACTGATCCACGGCCTGCAACATGGGGAGTCACATGGATTGACTGGGCAATGCTGGTTCTCTTCATTGTATTCACCCTCGAGTTGATCGCTCGCATATTAGTCTCGGGCTTCCTTTTAAACGCCTCGGAGTACAGCACCATTGATCGCCAAAAGGGTGTACGAGCGGCAGTTGTCGAGCAGTACAGGAACATCTTCCAGCCTCAGCGACAAAAGTCCGTCAAGACGCCACGGCAAATTAATCTCGGCCCCTCTGCGTTCCAGCGATCATTCACTGTCATGCAGGGCCAAACGCTGCCCCAGACCGTCGAGGAGCAGCAGAGGTTTCAGCTTGCCCGTAGAGCCTTCCTGCGACACTCGTTCAACCGATTGGACTTCCTCGCCGTGGTTGCCTACTGGATCTCTTTTGCACTCAGAATCACCGGAATCGAAAGCGAGAGGCATCTATACGTCTTTCGGATGATTGCTTGCTTGCGCATCTTGAGGTTGCTGGCCTTGACGAATGGCACGGCGGTGAGAACCTCAGTCATTCCCACTAGCATTGTTCATTACTAACGCCCATCCTAGATTATCCTCAGAAGTCTCAAGAAGGCAGCGCCGCTGCTTGTCCGGGTGGCTTTCCTCATCGCTTTCTTTTGGATTCTGTTTGCCATCATTGGAGTGCAAAGCTTTAAAGCTAGTTTGAGTCGGCAGTGTGTTTGGCTTGACCCAACAGACCCGACCAATAAGGAGAAGTCCTTCACGAATGAACTGCAATTTTGCGGTGGTTTTCTCGATAACGTTACGGGCGAGAGTATGCCTTGGGTTTTCCCGGCAGACCCCAATATCCTGAGCAATTTCACAAACGGGAGCATGGCTGGCAAAGGCTTCCTTTGCCCTCGTGGCTCAATATGCCTCCAACAAGAGAACCCATACAATGGCACAGTCAGCTTCGACAACATTCTCCAGTCGTTGGAGATGGTTTTCATTATCATCAGTTCCAATACCTTCACCGACATCATGTACTATACGACCAACTCCGATTACCTGCCCGCCGCCCTCTTCTTTGGCGCTGGCATCATGATCCTTATGCTGTGGCTCGTGAACTTGCTCATTGCCGTCATTACGTCTTCTTTCCAAGTCATCCGGGAAGAGAGCAAGGCGAGTGCGTTTACAGCGACCGAGGAGCCCTTGATGCCCGAATCCGTGGACGAACCACCCCCCAGAGTGTCTGCCCTGCAGCGAATTTGCGTCAAGACATCGCTGCTTTGGAATGCAGTCATTACTTTTGGCTTGTTGGCCCAATGCTTCCGAAGTTCCAGAATGTCGGATAGTCGTGAACGGTTTATCAACTCTGTCGAAGTTTATGTTACACTGATACTGGATGTTGAGATTATTATGCGCATTGCTGCTGGCTGGCGCACCTTTCACAAGAGCAAACGCAACCTCATCGACCTGGGTCTGGCAGTCATCACGACCATCATCCTAATACCGCCAATCCGCAACTCCGGGGAGACATACGCCTGGTTGACCGTCTTCCAAATCGTGCGAGTCTACCGACTTGTCTTGGCTGTGCCGATGACTCGAAAATTGATTGTCATGGTCCTTGGGAATTCCAATGGTATCGCCAACCTGATGCTTTTCGTATTTCTCATTACGTTCCTGATGGCTATTCTTGCGGCTCAACTATTCAGGGGCGAAATACCGAAGCACGACGACGATGGTAACCTCAACGAGATCTCCTTTTTCACCATTTACAACTCTTTTCTTGGCATGTATCAGATCTTGTCGAGCGAGAACTGGACCTCAATGCTTTACAATGTTACTTCTTATATGAACGAACACGATACAGGCTGGATAGGCGCAGTTTTCTTGGTTGGCTGGTTCATCCTATCATTTCTGATTCTCGTCAATATGTTCATTGCTGTTATCCAAGAGAACTTCGACGTATCAGAAGATGAGAAGCGCCTTGAGCAGGTCAAGGCTTTCCTTCAAAGGAAGGAGTTGGGCAAGTCATCCAGCAGTCTCACCTTGTCAAATATCTTTACTTTTGGTAAAGCGAGACGAAGAAAAGACCCTCTGGATTACGGACCTGCCATGATGGAAATGCTCTTGAAGGATGCTGTGGTTCACGAGTTCCTCGACGACGCTGCTGACTTACCACAAGACAGTACCAACGAAGAACAGTCGCCTACAAGAGCTCAAACCCCTCATGTCGGCGAGGTTAGGCCTGGGTTTCTATCGTACACGTGGGGAAAGTTCAAGTCAGCGTTCAGCAGCAAAGATCCAAATCCGTTTTACTCGAATCTCCGATTCGATGGACCAAATGACACTCTTGACCCGCGCCAAATGGCACGGCAAGCCGTCTCGGCTACGTCTGCCCGCAAAAAAGCCCAGCGCGATTACCTCTCTAGGCACCCTAGTTACAACAACTCCCTGTTCATTTTCACACCTCATAACCCTATTCGACGATTCTGTCAAAGAATCGTAGGGCCGGGAAGAGGAAATGAGAGATTTGAGGGCGTCGAGCCAAACAAGATTGCCTGGTATGCTACTTCTGCGTTCATATACGCTTGTATTGTTGCCATGGTCGTCCTCGCGTGTGTCACAACACCACTCTACCAGAAACAATACCAGGCAGCACACCCCGAGTTCAGCATAACGTTTTGGTACGTCTGGACAGATCTGGCTTTTGCCGTGGTCTTTTCAGTTGAAGCTGTTATCAAGGTTATTGCTGATGGCTTCTTCTTCACGCCCAACGCCTACTACCGCAGCTCGTGGGGCTTCATTGATGGCATTGTCCTCGTTACCCTGCTGGTCAATGTCGGCACTTTACTCGCTAACGACGGTGCTGTTTCCAGAGCCATTGGTGCTTTCAAGGCGCTTCGTGCTCTACGTCTGCTCAATGTCAGCGACAGCACCAGAGATACCTTCCACTCGCTCATCATTGTGGGCGGCTGGAAGATCCTGAGTGTGAGTCTCGTACTCCCTCGCGCCACATGGATTGTCTCTAATTTAGCTTACAGGCCGCTTTTGTCTCGATATCGCTGCTGATCCCCTTCGCCATATATGGACTTAACCTTTTCAACGGCCAAATGATATCCTGCAACGACGGCGACGATTCAATCGTGCGCATTTCCGAGTGCTTCGGCGAGTACAACAGCACACCATTCAATAACGACTGGCCGATGTTGGCACCTCGCGTTCCAGCCAATTCCTATTTCAGCTTTGATGACTTCGCTTCTTCCCTTTTCGTCCTCTTCCAGATTGTTAGTCAGGAAGGGTGGGTCGATGTCATGTTTGCTGCGCAGGCAGTTACGGGGCGCGGATTCCAGCCTAAGGAGCTTAACCGTCAGGGCAACGCTATGTTCTTCGTCGTGTTCAACCTACTGGCGACCGTTTTTGTCCTCACGCTGTTCATCTCAGTCTTCATGCGCAACTATACTGAGCAGACGGGTGTCGCTTTTCTGACCGCGGAGCAAAGGTCCTGGCTCGAATTGCGGAAGCTCTTGCGACAGATTTCTCCATCTAAGAGCTCCTATAACGAATCAGAAAAGACATGGAAGAAATGGTGCCACAAGCGCGCCATCGAAAAAAGGGGGAAATGGTATACAGCTGTCACCTATGTCTTGATCTTCCATCTGTTGTTGCTTCTCCTCGAATACCACGGCGAACCACAATGGTGGACGGACTCCCGCGACGGGATTTTCCTGGCGTTCACCCTCGTCTACATGGCCAACATTGCCATTCGCATCACCGGTCTTGGCTGGGCACGCTTCCGAAGGAGCTCTTGGGACCTGTACTCGCTGGTGGTCGTCGCAGGTGCGTTCGTCTCTACGGCTGTTCTTATCATCAGTAGGAACAGCGACACCTACGTACAGCTTCACAAATTCTTCCTTGTCGCTATCCTTCTGTTGCTCATTCCCCGAAACGATGCCTTGGACCAGCTGTTCAAGACAGCCGCGGCCAGCTTGACGACAATTGGCAACCTGCTCGCTACCTGGCTCGTCTTTTTTCTCGTCTTCGCCATTGCCCTGACGCAGGCATTCAGTCTGACACGCTTCGGTGAGAACGAGGAAGCCAACATCAACTTCCGCAGCGTGCCCAACGCATTGATTCTGCTGTTCCGGATGAGTTGCGGTGAAGGTTGGAACCAGGTCATGGAGGACTACGCTACTATCGAGCCGCCGCTGTGCGTTGACAATCCCGACTTCTTCGACAGTGACTGTGGTAGCAAGCCCTGGGCTCGGTTCCTCTTCGTCGCGTGGAATATTTTGAGCATGTACATCTTTGTCAATTTGTTTGTGTCTCTCATCTACGAGAGTTTCAGTTATGTCTACCAACGGTCTAGTGGACTGGCAGCTGTGGACCGTGACGAGATTAGGCGCTTCAAGGAAGCCTGGCGAAGCGTTGATCCCGCCGGAACCGGATTTATCAGCAAGGAAGCGTTCCCAAGACTTCTGGGAGAACTTTCCGGGGTATTCGAGATGCGCATCTACGATGCCGATGATTCGGTAAGGCAAATATTGGAGGATGTTCGCAATGATGCCGCAACATCGGGAGCGCGCCACATGTCCATTGGTTCTATGAGCAACTGCAGCGCCGGAATTGACATCCAACGGTTGAACAGGCGACTGGCTCAGATTGACGTTGTCAAGGTCCGCGAGCGCCGTCGACGGTTCAATATTTTCTTTGAGGAAGTCATGGTTTCCGCGGATCCTGACAAGGGAATATCCTTTACTTCTGTCCTGATGATCCTGGCTCACTATAATATCATCAACGACAGCAAGAGCTTGAAGTATGCCCTTGTTCTATATTCGATGTATAACGACGCTGACGTGGTTGTAGGTTGGAAGAGTTCTTGCGAAGACGTGCCAGACTTCAGAGAGTGGAAGAGGAAGTCCGTCGTCGAGTGGTCCTTGGCTTCTTCGACACTCTGTAAGCTCGCTATGGCCAATATAGATTATGAGGCAATGACTAACATATTTTTCCTGCAGGTACTGGACACGCAAGTTCAAGAAGCATATCGACATGAGAAAGTCGGCGAGGATGACAGCCATTCCCCAGCTTGACATTCCTCATATCCTCGTAGATGACGACGAGGTCCGGCGCAAGTCTTCGCCAGTAGCAGGAACAGGCCAGACGCGGTCAGCGTTGCTGACGGTGGACGATGCGAACAAAGCATCTCACAAGAGCTGGTCGGGACCCGGGCCATCGGACATACCGTCCGACGACTATCAACACCCCCTCAGTCTTGCAAGGTCCGGCACGACAACACCAGGTCATCAATCGACACATTCCGCCTTCAGCTTTGAGTTGCAGGAGGGAGGGCAGACCTCGGGCCAGAGCAGCCGGCGGGGCAGTGCTGTTAGTCCAGTACAGAGTCCCGTCAGCCCCGCCCAAGTCAGCAACATGCTGGATGACTCGATCTGGCTTGAGAGTATTCGGAGAACTGCAACAGTCCGAAAATCGGTCCGAAAATCTGATTGGGGCAGATGAACGCACCAAGATGTGGTGTGTCTTAAATTTTGTTCTGCAAGCGACGGCGTTTGGGTTCAAGAGCAAGCATCATAGAATCTTGGCGCAGTGCCTAGACCAGGATTTGTTTTCTCTTTTTCTTTCTGGTTTAATGATAGACACGAGTTCGAGACATTCTCCCACCCTTTTGTTCTTGTTTAATAGATGACACAGAAGCCCACAGGGTCAAGACCTCGCTTGCTTCCCACTTTCGGGCATACAGCCTCGAGGAGGAGACGTTGTAGACTAGAAAACAATAATGATAAAGAAATCAACCAAAGAAAAAAAACCGTTTCTCAAAGAGTACATAGTGCGATGGATGGATACCAAAGAGTTGGACGCTTGGGAGCAACTTGGTAAGCACGAATCACTGATGTTACCCTGCACCAGTCGCTCGATTCGTCATGGAATTGGACCTAGGTCAAGGAATCATTCAACAGCGCTTAGACGTTGCGATCGGACAGTGACGGGGCGGCAGCTTTTCGTTCATCTGATCGTCAGATTGGCGATGATGAAACTCTCCGTCACTCTCTCATCGGGAGTTCCAGAAACGACGAAAGTGTATTTGCTTCTTTCCCTCCTTCCTTGATCGACTCAAGACGGGGAAAGGCAGAACGAGATGGGTACGTTCCCCTCTGTCGTCAACATGACAGGAGCCCAAAGCGTCCCGCATCGAACTCTCAGAATCGGTGAGACCAGCGCGCTCTGTCAAGTGTTATCGAGACCGCGTCCGTACTTCCTAGCAGTGAGTTTCTCTTGGCAGACGTCAAAGAGAGGTAAAAGAGTTTTGGTACACAGGCCGAGTATCAGAGCAAACGAAGCTCTTGACGGAAATCAGTGTCCCGACAGGTGTTTGAGACAGTGCCAACTTCCAAGATGTCTTTGGTAGGGTGGAGCGGAAGAGTATCTGCAACTCACAAGATGCAAGGATGGATGCGTTGGTAACACGTGATATATATATATATATATATATATATATATATACAGAAGAAGAAGAACTAGTGGTCTTTTCTTTACCTTGGCTTGCCTTGCTTGCTTGTACTTTCCCTTGTCTTGGCCCTCGATGGCGGAAGATGGGATGGACCTACTCACGGGAAGGGGGACAATTACTAAAGGCCAGTCCACTTGCCTGCACATGCGCTCGTATTTCGTGGTTCTTGTCTCATCTCATCCGAAGTAGGCCCACGGCCTCGCCTGGTCTAGGTAGTCTGGTCTGGTCAGGTCTGCCTGTGTCTTGTCGTCGCTCGGCTTTTCCTCGTTTCACGCTCGCAAATGTTTTAACATGCCCCCTCCTTTTTTCGTGTTCCAGCAGGGGCGAAGGGACATCAAGGAGACAACTTAGGTGCGAGACCAAGGCGGTCTCTCTTAAGGTCAGATCAAGGAGACAACAGCTTACTTGGACATTTATTCTCATATCCAAGATGGAGTGAACAGGAGAAGAAGGGGGTTTCTTCTTCTTTTTTTTTATTTTTAAGAGGACGGACGGGTCTACTATGTCAGTACTGCATAGTGGATACGTAGTTTCTACCTAGTGTTGGCTGTACCCCTTGTTTCCCTATGGCTTTACGGCGACCTTCCCTGTCCGTCAGTAGGATCGAAGGCCTTGAGAGAAGGAGGGATCATGGGTCATTGTCGACGGGGGATCAGTCGGCAATGCGACGGTGAAAGGCGATCCAGAGGATAGGGATCCAAAGACCCTTGATCTGGGGTGGGTTTGAAGTTTGTGACAGTGTTTGTGATTCAGATGGCTTTATGGCTTATGGCAGAGGGTCCGGCATCGCGACTGCGGGACACCACCGACATGGCTCGGAGCCGAAGACAGAAGAGGAAAAAGGAGAAAAGGGCTATCCGAGGTTACATGCCTATGCCATGCCTTCAATCGTCAGATACAACCCCATAGTCGACGTTGTATTAAATTCTCGACGGCAGCGATCCATTTGGGCATACCTCGTTGGCTTGGCCTCTTTCGCACTATGGATGAATAGATGGCTACTGTCACCCAGCTCGGGGGGGGGGTTATCTTTTTTTTTTTCCTTCCAAGTTGCAACGAGATCCATGCTTCCAGGGACTGTAGGCCCCGCCTCAGCTTCAGCATCGACCAGGGCTGTTGCTCCTCTTTTCCAGAAATCTTCGATTTCCACTTTCTTTTCTTTTCGAATCAAAGAGTTGATGCGAGCAAGTGGCACGAGCGCAGCCATGGGCCGCGTAAAGCATACAGGTAGGTAGTACGATGTAGTTTGGGTGCATGACCCATCCATCCATTAGTGCCTCCGCAGCTACACGTAGGTAATCTAGATTGAGTGAGGTATGCACATTCCATCAACCGCCTACTCCGTACACCAGATACATATCGCCTTTACTTACCCAGGTAGGTAGTTGCCCTTGCTACCTCATGAAGGGTCGCCAGTGAGGGTATGGATGGGGAGGGGGGAGGCCCAGCTGTTCGGGAACAGGCAGTACCCTCTTACCTATTTACCCAGCTACTACTATGTAGATAGTGTTTATGTGGCAGAGTCGTCTTCAGCGTCGTCAACCAGTAAGTAGTGAAGCACCCACTTGTGCCCAGGCCGAACGCTCGGCAGAGCCGTCAGCGCCAACCATAAAGCATAACATCGGCAATTTCGCTGATGGGTGCACTTGAAACGTACGCCTTCTTTTGTTCGCGTCGCTTACGAAGCACTGCGTAGGGCCTGTCGCTCCCTCTGCGGTTGGCTATAGCCCCTGACAGCCAGTCACCCAAGGTGCCTTGGTAAGTGCCTCCCTACGACGCTCCTACCTTGCTGTGTACCGACTACGATAGGTCCCGTACATATATAGGTATCTTGATAGGTACTTCAATGAGACATCTACCTAAGCGGTAGGTGCCTGAGATAGGTAAGTACATGTATCTACCTAAGTGGGCAGTCACTATGAACGGTAGGTTCTGTAGCTACGTCGAGATGAACGAATGGCAGGCCGGCTCTGTGCGTCAATAGCCTTTGGGAGACAAGTCTTCTACGCCATTTCCCTGCAGGAACTGTACCTTTGTCATTTGAGGATACCTCCAGAGAAACCCATCACTTGTCTCGTCACTGCCTCTCCCCTGTTCCTCCCCCTACCCCAGCGACGATCACACAATGCAACCCGTTGTGGGCTGCCTGAGCTTGAGGCTGCTACACACCTCATACTGCCCTGCACCAACGACTCCTGAGTACCGTCAACGATTTCGTGTTTCTGTCGTCTACTGCGTCTTTGAACCTCCTCGGCCACAGTAGTTATCAAGGCAGCGAGAATAGGTAAGCGGTAAAGTTCCAGCAAGTGACAGGGGAGGTCAAGAAATGGACGGACTGGCAATTGGGTCTCCTCATCGAATCTCTCCATCTTTCCTTTCCTTGGAGTCTCTCACAACCAGGCGTAGGTATCATGACCTCTTCCCGATCTTGTCTCGATCGCTCGTGGCAGACGGTCAAGTACCTTTTACCTCATCTTCGGCTATGGAAGAGACACCCGCTTTGGACAAAGAGCAAACTCCTGTGTCGTCTGAACAACACTGAGGTACGGTGACAAGGCGGTACCTCGGAAGTTTCCATTTGCTTCGCAGGTATTGACGCCCCTGCTAGGTGTTCTTATCAGCCCGTCTCGAGCCTGTCTCTTCCTCCGCTGCCGCATCGCTCGTTACCCTCAAAGAGGCAGCGCGTCCTGAGGGCTCTCACCCTCGCATTGATGCCCTCTGCGTCACACCCCTGAACTACGAACCCGCTTCTCCATACTGCCTCTTAACCCACCATCCTGCAACCATTCTCACTCCCTGTCCTCCTCCTCCTCCTCGCCCATTCCTTACTCTTTTCGTCCACCTCCCGCACCCCCTTGTTCCCTCTCTGCCACCTCGCTTCGCCTGCGATTAATTTGTTACCAGGGTGGGTTCTAATTATTCGTTCGTCACTGCCAGACTACCGATACTTGCTGCTTGCCACCTATACACTACTGTTACTGCTGCTGCTGCGCTACACTCTACACTACTGGCTAGCTCCTCCATCCTCTCTCCCTCGAACCTCCGCATCTACTCTCTGAGGCTTGTTGATATAATTCAACCCCCTTCCCACCACCCCTTACTCCCTCTCGAACTGAATCCACTCACCCTCATTTCTGCTATCCAACTTCTTCGCATTGGACTCGGCCTTCCCAGGTGGTTGACTTCTGTTCATTCCGTGCTCCTTTCGTGGAACCAGCTGTCCTACCTGTATACCTTTTTCAGCTCTCGTCATTCGTTCGTCCAATTTTTCAACGTAGGCTGCGCCTCTCCATATAATTGCAAAACATCAACAAGAACATCTCTAGGCGTCCCCTCACCAGACGAACTATTCCTTCCTCTCTGTTTCTCTCTTCTCGTACGACAATACCGATATTCGCCACCTTTTCATCCTCAACAACAACACGCCAATAACCTCGAACATCAACTTGCCCGTCATGCAGTCCTCCCGCTTCCAATCCATCACCTCCCGCTTTTCCCCGAGCACACTGCGCACCACCTTCCGCCGCTCATCATCCGCTTCTTCCCGTGCCAGCAGCGACCGGGGCTCTTACACCACCACCGCTTCGTCTCCTGTAAGCACTATCAACAGCATCGTCTTTAGCCAGCCCTCGATGCTTGACCTCGAAGAAGAGCGCAAGAGCTTTGGAAGTGAGCTCAGTATACTCGAGCCGCGTCCTGTCGTCTACTTCGGCAGTGTTGAGGAGCGCATCGGATCACTGTAAGCACCCAGATTCTTGGGCATGTGTCACGAGTGGAGGGTACGAAGGGATACGAATATGGATCATGTTTACGGGTCTTCGAGCTCTTGGGTTTTTGGTCTTGGAATAGAACGGGTTTCGAATGGGAATGCTTGGCAACAGACACAAGCGGCGTATCTTGGAGTTGCGGTTTGAATTCGGAGCCGGTCGATTGGAGCCGGGAATGTTGGTTAACGGCCTGACAGGCGCATTGAGAGAGAACGCAGGTGTGAGAGAGTGGGGGAAAATCAAACAACCTGCCCATCGGGGGCAATGTTTATGCCAATGTTGTGATTCGCCAACCTGTGACTGAGAGAATCCGGCCCAACAACCATGATATCTCGCTCTTGATCTCCCCCTCATCTTCGATTCAAGGCAATTATTAGCGAATTCGTGTATAAGATAGGATGGCGCCTGTGAACATGGGGAATGGTGCAATTCACCACTGGGCTCATTACCAGTCAAGCAAGACATGGTGACTGCAAGGAACTGTTGTGTTGAGTAGACCCTTTGCTAACCCCATTCTGAATCACAACGAGCAATAATTGACTGGTTGGCATGCCCGTCACTCCGGCTTCAAAAGCCACTCGCTGGCTGAGCATCCTGACTGCAATGTAAAAGTCAACGGCAACCAAACTAGCAAGAGCCCTTGGCCCTAACAGTTCAACCGAAAACGTCACGAAGGTAACATTCGCGCCGCCTCCACGTTAGCCCCGGCAACGTATGACAGTTCTTGACTCACAAACGTCCATCGGCACAGCGTCAAACTGCAGCAGGCTTCGATTGTTTCCCTGAGTTAACTCCCTAACGCGCTTACAGGGGTAGAACCAATCCAATTGAATAACACACATATAGCCCACGAAGGCAAGATGCCCAATCACATCATCGCCGGGAGAGACCCCATACCGGAAATGTTCTGGCTGATGGTTGGCGGAAACATTCTCTCCCCGCCACCGACGTGGGACCGCTTCCTACTCATGGCAGGTGAGCGTGTCAAAGTACAGCGGGAGGCCAAGGCGGAAGAGAAAGAGTTCAAAAAAGCCAAGAAACAGGCCATGGCTGAACTCAAGGCACAGGAAAAGGCAACTATGGAGGCGTTCAAGGGTGGGTTAGTGGCCTGGAGAAAACGGAAGCGCGAGGCGAAGGCAAACGGTGACGGAGAGTACGAAGAACGGTCCAGTCGAGAGAATCGACAACCCGAGAACAGCGGCGGCGACGACAACGACGACGGAACCGAGACATGCAGGTGAGCTTCCCTTGAGCTCGTGTCAGCGCAAGTGAATGGTTGCATGGTCTGGCGTGCAAACTGGCGAAAGATCAGAGGAGATACACATGAGTAGGATAAGGTGTCAGCGACTTTAGTTTGTGGCATTTTGGCAGAGCTGTGCCATTTTCCAACAGCCCAACGCAAACAGCTCTATGATACAGATACTATGGCATACATTTACAACAGGTTTAGCAAGCTTCTACTTTCTCCCTGCACTCGATACGGATGGGTTTTTGTTGTCTTGTTCGGTACTCTTTACCGTTGTCTACAGTCGGTACGCCCCAGCAATTTAAGAGCTGCTCTTGTCTCTCCTCCGGCCCATGTTGCGTACTCTGGGCTCAACGACCCACTTGTTGAAGTTGTGCTTGCGGCGGGTTTTGAAACCTCCCTTGGCCTATAGAGTATCTGGCTTAGTAATGTTCCGATTCGAATAGTAGGTTCTCCATGACTTACCGGGGTGCCCCAAGGACTGGTCGGGTGGCGGTTACCCTTGGACTTACCCCGTCCACCGCCGTGAGGATGGTCGACTGAACAGTGTTGGTTAGCGCAGTGTTTTCCCAAGCATAACGTTCCCCGAGCATAACGAAAGTCGCGGGTGGTAAGAGATCACATACCGGAGTTCATGGCAAGACCACGAACGGTTGGGCGAATGTTCAGCCATCTGCTTCTTCCAGCCTTACCCAACTGCCTGTACTGGTGGTGTGGGTTGCTGGCAACTCCGATGGTTGCGCATGCGTCCTTGCTGACTCTGCGGATCTCACCGCTCTGGAGACGGACGTTGACGTATTTGCCTGTCATGACCTTGGTTCCGTCATCTCTCGTCTCTTCCTCCTTGGAGACAACGATGGCATAGGTGCCAGCACTCCGGCAGAAAACAGCGCCACCCTTGGCTCTTGAGCCGACATTGAAGACAACGGTGCCGATCGGGATCATGTGCATGGGCAGACAGTTGCCTCTCCAGGCAGTCTTGGCAGCCAGAATACCGGGGTCGACAACACCGCCCATGCTGTCGAGCAGGTCCTTGGGAATGCCTGAGCGATAGCTGTGAACGACGTCGCCAGCACGCATGCCCTCGGCAGCGACAATGTAGCTCTTGCGCCCGGAAGACTTATTCGTAAGCAGCGCAATGTGGGCACTGCGACCCGGGTCGTACTCAATGCGATCGACCAGATGCGGGCCGGGCTGCCAGCGATCAAAATCGACGGTTCGTATTCTCCTCTTGGCACCTCCTCCGCGATGTCTGACGGTAATCTTTCCAGAGGAGTTACGGCCACCCTTGCCGTGACCCTTCTTGGGGAAGGTCAATGGCAGAAAGGGGCGGCCCTTCCACAGGTGGTCGTTGATGGGGCGCTTGAGATGGCGGACACCAGGAGTTCGGGGCTTATAGGTGCGCATGATGACGGAGTCATTGCTTTTGGTTGGGGCGGCTCCAGGTGCTGCGAATTCGCTAGCCGTGGATGCCGACTTCTCAGAAGCAGCCTTCGCAGCAGACTTTCTGGTAGCAGTAGCGTATTGTCTGATAATGAGCCCACGAAGAGCAGCCGAGCCCAGAACGCTTGCGCAGCTCCTCTGGGCCGACATCAGTATCCGCGGTTGCGACATATCGGGAGTGATGCGTTTTCGAGGCTCGAATGAGTTGATGAAGGTGAGGAGAGGCCAGCTAGTCAGCGCGACATGGCGCGGGAGAAGGAGAACTCGGCAGCGGGTTTTTAGGGGTGGCGACAGGAGCAGAATGTCGAACTCGTCAATTGAGCTTGGCACCTAGTACTCGGGACTGGCGGTTGCCGTGTGGTCTCGATGAGTGATCCCTATTCGTGGTCGGGATGGCTTCAAACCCAGGTTGGATGGGATTAGCCCAGTGCAGATTTCGAGCTTTGGGAAATAATTATTCTGCCGACGCCGACGGAATTTGGTCGCGACCCGGTACGTACCCTGACCCCCTTCATCTTCAGCCACAGGCGCGGTCAGGACAGTGGACCCCATATGGCTCAAAATGCCAGTTGAGCCTCAGACGCCTCGACACGTCCGGCTTCAGGGAAGCGTGACGGAACTGACGGGACTAGTGGAGACGTGGTTAACCAACCAGCCAATGATGGAACAGTTGCCCCGCGGTTGCTACTGTTGATTGCTATTGTAGCCAGGGTAATGCTCCATTTTCCAGCTCTTTTTCACAGTGTTCCCCATCGGACCTTACAGCTTTCTTCGCGTGCAGCCAGGGCAATCGCGTACCTCCTCTCGCTTGGCCACGACCGCGCCCACGACCTGCCACGACCCTCGTCTTCCCTCATAAGCGACCAGCATCTCCGAACCTTGTCGGCCGTTCCTGTCGCGCTTCATTTAAGGCATCCTCAAGTTTACCCAAGCCGCACACAACAGACCATCGATAGAGATATATCTTCTCGCGAAAACGATACTTGGCTTAACCTCTTGTTTCTACCAGCAACAGGCTTCCTCATCGTCACCTTCAACCCATATACGACAGTTCCCATCCCCTTACCCTCAGAGTTACGCACCTTGCCTTGTAGCGCTCTGATCTCATCCGGCTTCGACAACCGTTCGTCACCTTTCGGTACCGCCAGATCCTGCGTACTACCCACCACATCAATCCAATATCAGGATCCCCCAATTCACCATTTACCACTTACCATTCACCGCGTCTATCTATTCCAGCCGTATATCTACAGGTCTTCTCTCTCCCTCGACCTTCCACAAACACAAAGAGAACCAAAACGCGCCCTCGTGTGAAAACTGCCGTCCAAGCTGCAACTAAACAGAACCCTCCTTCACCCCGTCACGACAAAGACACCGACACCTGACGCGCGCGACTTTCCTTTAGTGAGAGACAAGAAGCCACTCCCTGTCCGTCCTTCGCGTATACTGCAACCGCACACACCTACCAACTTTTTACCCTTACTCCAGGGGCCGACGTGCGCTACTGTGGTGACCAAATCCAGACCAGACCAGGGCCACCGCGAGCAAACCGCGACTTGAGAAAACTGGTACGTACCCCATCAGCGCCCCAGTTCACAATACCCACCCACTCCATACCACATCACGTCCTCTGGTTCCCACTACCTCAGCAAAACACATCACACATTGTCCTTGCACCTTCTCTTCCCACATAAACAATCACGTTTTTCCCCAATTCCCAGTCTCCTAATTCCCCTATCTCTTCCTCCACGATACCCTCAGCTCTCCGCCATCTTACGAGGCTATACACCTATGCCAATTGGCCCCGGCAACGCGACTAACGCTACCCCGTCTTCTCTTTCCTTAGACCCTTACCCGTGTTTTGGCGTCGAACCTGAGCAAACAACTTGCCCGCGTTCGAGTCGCCCGTCATCATCATTCCCAAGGTACGCACGCGTCTCGACTTCCGTTCCATTCTTGGTTTCTTCTTTCCCAAGCAACCCGCCTGGTATATGCTGAACGCCTTGGTGGCGCTCCCTTTTTCATTACTTTGTCTCTACTATAGTGGCGCTTCATCCTCGACGCGTCTAAATCCTGACCTTGTCTTCCTAGATTCTACATCCCCAATACCCAACCTCACATAATTGGTATACAAGATGCCACAAGTAAGTGCTCCTCTGTTTGCACCTCATGGACCTTTCTGTCATATCCCATCGCGTCGACAGGCTGCTCACCAAGGCCTGCAGCCTACCCGCCCGACGCGTGCACGTATCGTGTCAAACGAGAATGATGAGAACAGTGGATCAATGCGCATGACGCGCGCCAAAGCAGCCGCGCTCAGCGTTGATGAGCTTGTTGCTCCTGGAAAGACGGCTCTCGCCACAAAGAAGTCTGCAGTCAACGCGATCCCGACAGGGCGAAAGCGCGCCGCCCTTGGCGATGTCAGCAACGTCAACAACAAAGAAACCATCACCGGGAAGAAGGCTGCGAGCAAGGGCGGTCTCGTCTCCAAGGCTGCTCAACCTACTGGCATCACGAAGAAGTCTAGCACCGCCACTAGCAGAAATCCTGTGCCCAAAGAGAAGAAGGCACCCGGCTCAGGATCCGGCGCGATCCCCAAGAGGAAGCCACTCAACCCCCCAACGAACACGAACTCTACCAAGGACGACAACCTTCTTGCAGGAGGCGAGCCCCTGCGCAAGAAACACCAATCTGCCCAGCCAGCGGAGAAGCGTCGAACCAAACCTGAGCCTGAGCCCGTTGTGTCCAATACTCCCGTCGAGTCTGTGCCTTCCGGCGTCGAAAAACATGACATTTACCCGCGCGGCGTTAGGAATCTGGATGAGGAGGATCTTGACGATCCGTTGATGGTGGCCGAATATGCTAACGAGATATTCGAATACCTTCGCGATCTGGAGTGCAACTCCATCCCCAACCCTAACTATATGGAACACCAGGACGATTTGGAGTGGAAGACGCGTGGAATATTGGTTGACTGGCTGATTGAAGTGCACACTCGCTTTCATCTCCTCCCAGAGACTCTTTTCTTGGCCATCAACATCATCGACCGCTTCCTCTCGGAGAAGGTTGTCCAGCTCGACCGCCTGCAGCTTGTTGGAATCACCGCTATGTTCATCGCATCCAAGTACGAAGAGGTTCTGTCGCCTCATGTCGCCAACTTTCGTCACGTCGCCGACGATGGCTTCACCGAGGCCGAGATCCTTAGTGCGGAGCGCTTTGTCCTTGGAACCTTGAACTACGACCTGAGCTACCCCAACCCCATGAACTTCCTTCGCCGCATCAGCAAGGCCGACAACTACGACATTCAGTGCCGTACCATCGGCAAGTACCTGATGGAGATCAGCCTCCTCGATCATAGATTCATGTCATACCGCCCCAGCCATGTTGCGGCTGGTGCTATGTACCTGGCCCGTCTCATCCTTGATCGCGGCGATTGGGTATGTTATGGCTGTCATGTCAGTATGGCACTGCATTTACTGACAAGCGAACAGGACACTACCATTGCATTCTACGCTGGCTACACAGAGGATGAGATTGAGCCTGTTGTCCGTCTCATGGTTGACTACCTCGCGCGCCCCGTCGTTCATGAAGCATTCTTCAAGAAATACGCTAGCAAGAAGTTTCTCAAAGGTAAAATCATTTCGCGATCCCAAACTTAATATGCTGTCAAGCTAACAACATTTGCCAGCCTCCATTCTTACGCGCCAATGGGCTAAGAAGAGTGCAGAGCATTTCGGTATTGTCGACATTCACCTCTCTTTGGACCAGATCTCTACTCGGGAAGAGGACAACTACCCCGAGGAGGACGATGAACAAGACGACTACTAGAGACGCCACGCGCAAACTGCGCTTGTTTTGGAACATACTCTGGAGTTGCAGAATATGCTGGGCCAGAGTAGTTGGATGAGCGTCAGCGTTTACGGTCACACTTACGAATGCATATATCGACGACCCGCACGTTCATAGTGCTGCATCATCCTATCGCCACACTCGCCAGGTTCCCACACGACAGCTCATGCAGGTTAGCGAGAGGAAGGGGATGATTGAGGCTATTGCTTTTTCTGTCTGGATTACATGGTCCAGACTTGGTTGTCAGATTACGGGCAGCTGTTTCCTGCTGCTTATTTTTGCCGGTTATACATCTTTCCAGTGCATTGGGTCCTTGTTGCTCTTGTCTCATGAACGGCGCATGGAGTCGGGTCAAGGATATCACGAAAGCGGACGGTTTGGCTGGAGTTCGTTGACTCTATCTTCCACTGGGCTGGCAAGACATGAGATCCGTTAGTTTTGCGTATTCTAGGCTCTTCGTCTGATCGTCTCTCCAATTCGGGGGTGTTTGGGTGATGGACGTTGGGGAGGATTGGCCCCCGTGGGGAAAGGAGCACACTTATGTGAAAGGAGGGATCGTGGGTCGTGGGCAACGGCAATCGTGCAAAAAAAGAAATTGTACATACATCTGTTCGGAGAATAGGGTTCAAGGAAGGGTAAATACATTGCATTGCGTTTTGTTCAAACACATATTTTCCCCCTTGCATGTCGATTGAACTTGAACAGGTCTTGCAGCGCAACTGATTTTCGCGAGATGGCACGGACGACTTCGAGTCACAACGCGTCTATGTGCAAGGAGCCCTCGGACGGATGCTGCTGTGCTCGCATGAGCCTGACCCTACCGCACCCTCCTGGACACCACCAGTTCGTAGTCCGTCTGTTACTTTTGGCTGTCTTGTTTGTTTTTCTGGTCCACTTTTCTTGCTCTGGTGCGTCGCGGTTGTTTTGGTCCATTGATCTGTCTTTCGACAACCCGGCAACACTTCATCTCGCATGGTGACTAACGTCCTAGGACTTTCACAGCAGGTGGCACATATATACGCGCACATCTTGATAAGCTGTGTCATTGGAGTTCTGGTCAGGAACAACGAAAGTTTCATTTCGGTCTAGGTAATCATAATATATCGTACAGACACTGGTCCATCTGTGGCAAGGACTAAGTTTGTCCACGCCATGCATGTCGTTAACATTGTGGGCACATGAGATCATGCTTTATGTTGGTTTGACCACATACGGTATTATGTACAGGACACGCATAATGGTGCAGAATATCGACATTTGGGTTTAGTTGGCAGCAGGCTCCTAGTTCTCTACCAAGATAAGCATTGCATTGATACTATTAG